TCTCTATAATGACCTGTGCGGGGTCTCCTTTTTCGGCTTCAGGCAAGTGAACGGGTAAGTATTTCATTAGTTGAATTCTATGAATTAAGGTTACAGATATTTGTCATTTAGGCCTGTAAAAGGACCAAAAAGGGCTAACAAACGCAGACATGTTTGAAAGAGACAAGCGTCTTGGTTAAGTGATTTATTTATTTCTAAAATACGGTGCATTTAAAGCAGTTTAAATGGATGCAAATTCTATGTTTGGTATGTGAAAAGGGTATCATTTGTCGGTAAAACGTAAACCAAAGGGGTACCTTTTCTGTCAGAAATGGTATATAGGAGGGTAAGGGGTTGGACCACGGGGCGGAGCCTCCTCCAGGAGTCTCTCTAAGTATCCCCAGGGGCTTGTGTTAGTTTGATGTGTTGTGTGTTAATCCGTAATTAGAAAAGTGCATTCATTCATCAACCTCGAGACTGCCCTCGGTTCTGCACGAGACTGACGCACGGTCTTAACGTGAATTTCTCTGTCCTACTTGAAGTTCGCAAATACGGTAGACGTACTAGATCCTCAACCAACAATGTTAATAAGTACATTATTAAGAAATGTGAAACTACTACGTACCAGAAATCCTTTCTCATTAAAACTCATAGAATTTAGAATTGTTTAGCGGATGAACTAGATTTGAGCCCATCAACCTTAGCTTCCTTTAAATCGGTTATTTTTAATTATTATAAGTCCGCTTTAGCTGTTTCCTATGATTGTGAAGACCCACGTTCGTTCAAGCCTATCTGTTTAAAATGTAATAGTGTTCGTCCCTTGTCTCGTCCAATAACTTGTTGTATGTAGCTGTAGTTTTTCTTGTATCACTACGTTTTTTAATATTTCTTGTTTTTATTTTTTTTATATTAGTATCCGGGCCCGCTGTGATTGGCTACAGCTGTTGCGGTGTCCCTGCCAACGTTCTTTCTGTTTGTTTGTTTGTATTTTTTTGGGCGAAGCTAACAAAAATAGAATAAACTGACAGCTGCTGACGAGTATTTTGTAAAACCGGCCTTTATAACATAAATTAAGGAGCGTACCTGTTAACTTTTAAAAAGTCAGGAGAGTTCATGATTGCGAGTTTAAGTTAGCCTGTGAGCAAGCTCTCCTTTTGGGGGAGTCGCGAGAAGTCACACGAGAGCCACACGCCAGAGGAGGCGTAACTGCGAGTGATGGAGAAAGAAAGAGAGAGGGGCTTCTTTTCTCGCTCCCCTCTCGCTCGCGCATTCTCGATCGTTAATATACGGCTCGCTTCGCTCGTCACTCAAAATGGACTTTTTAAGCTTAAGGAAGAGCTAGATTAAAAGCAAGCAAGATTAAGCAAGATTCTTAATTTTTAACCGTAAATATAAGACTATTAGCTAAATGCAGATCATTATTTTTTTACAAATCACTAAGGCCTTTCCTTTGAAGTTTAACGATCCACCATTAAAGCTCAGTTCCAGTCGAAGTTGAGTTGAAAAGCCGGAAAACTACGCTGAAATCCTCAAAGGTATGGTGGCGCGGGCTCAAATGACAACTTGACCTTAAACTTTCTTGGAAAATCACGCACCTTATAGCGCTTCACCTAATGGTAAAAAAAAGTATCACAACAGCCATTGTCTTAGACAATACCTGCGACCAATGGGCATGCTAGAATCGGACCCGAATATTGACTCGGACCCGATTTCGTTTAATCGGACACGATAACAAATCGGGTCCGAATCGTAGTCGGGTCCGATATATTTCGGATCGGTTCCCAAAACTAATCAGGTTCGAATTGGAAGGTAAATGGAAGGTAAGTACAATTAAATATTTAAAAATTTATTCACAGATTTACAATTTTTAACGCTAATCAGTCTCTCAGGAACCGTTGCCTAGTCTGCAGGGCTGGATATCCCAGGCTCGATCTCCGGTTAGGAAGGAATACTAAACAGCCGTTTTTGCTTTTCTGATTCTCATGATTTGGTTTGTTCGGGGTGAGGGACCGGAGGGAGTGGTACTCTCTACAGTGGCCTGTACGGGGTACCTTTTTCAGGCTTCAGGTGTATGAGAGGGTAGGGATTTCATTAGTTGAGGTGCATGAAAAGTTAGAGATATCTGTAAAAGGACCAAAAAGGGCTAACAGACATAGACAGATTTTTAAGGGACAAACTTCTTGGTTAAGTGAGTTATTTATTATCTATTTATAAAATGCGGTGCATTTACAGCAGTTTAAAGGGATGCAAATCCTTAACTTGGTATGTTAAAGGGGTATCATTGGTCAGTAGAACGGAAACGAAAGGAGTACTCTTTCCGTCAAAAATGGTATATAAAAGAGTAAGGGGCTGGACCTCGGGGTGGAGTCTCTCCGTTGAGTCTCTCCAAGTATACCCGGGGGCTTGTGTTCGTTTGATGTGCTGTGTGTTAACCCTTTAACCCCTAACATCAACATTTAAATTCTCATCTGTTATCTATGTACGTTTTCAAAGTAGTAGGGAGAATTTGTTGAAGTATCAATTAGATTCATCTTGTGTGATCATGTCCTTAATTCTCATGACCACTCTGTTTTATAAGCACTGATATTACAAGGATAAATTTGACGCTGATCACTCTTAGGGCCTTTGGGGTTAATCCGTAAGTAGAAAAAAATACGTTCATTCATCAAGAGGTGTTTCTTTCATTTACCCAGGGGCATATGAAAGGAAAGAAAACTTAATCAGTGGTTAGCATGCTTCACTTCTTTGTTTGGGAACAGAATATCCATGATCTGGTAGCCTCCCACGCGCACGAAAGGGAAGGAACACGTGACGAAGCCTTTGCTACTAAATGACCAAATGACGTAATTCGGATTAAGGTCAGCCACTTCCGACTCTACGGCGAAAGATTTCAAATAATGGTGTAAAATTCAGTTGACGCTCTTCACTGGTTATTGATGTTACGGAAACTACTAAAGGAAAAAAGTGATACGTTAAACATTAATCAAATGGACGTTTTCTTTGTCGACCTGCGCAGTTTTATTCCAGTTAATGAAACCTAGAATCAATCCCGGGAGATTTCCTCGTACTCAAGAAAGAACACATAGAAATCTCCAACCGACGAAACCAAAATCAGGCTACCGCTGAAGATTTATTACTTGTTATCAGCTCAAAGATTAATGGACGAGAAGAGCAGTTTAACTGGGCATAGTTTGTTTAATCATATTACGTTATCAAACCGCAGCATCATAGTTACTAATAGGAAAAATGTTAAGTTACTTTCTGTCTTAGTTCGGCTCCAATGAGAAAGAACAACGGCTATCAGATATTTTGATGTTAAAGTAAAGGACCTGGTTTCCACGACGCGTGTCCAAATAAATAAAAACAAATGGCAATAAAAATTGGGCCTATGATATTGGCCTTTCTGACAGAGAGATCGCTCCCATAAATCCTAACGTGTAAACAGATAGCCACTGAAGAGTATTTTGTAACACCAGCTTATAATAGAAAATGTATATACGTATAGATTTAGCCAGGGCTAAAAGCGAAGCTCTCGATAATATTCATAGCTTGTTCAAACAAAATATAAAATATTGTATAGTAATGCTAGGCGGCGAAGGCATGCAACGCCGGAGAACGGTGAAAAACAACAATAGGTCTAATTAGCAAAAAAGCAACTTTGCGCTTGCAGCACACTTTTTTTGTACATTTCTTTGCCGTTGTTTTGCACGACTACAACGTGAAACTTCCAGAAACTTCTTAGTTACACGTTTTATGGAGGAAATGTCGTACGTTTTCTCGTTCACTTTTTTTCACTGCCTCTCATTTTCACCTTACATTATTGGTGGCCGCTAGCATTTCTCATTTTGTCACCGCCGCTACAAATTTTTTTTTTAAATCTTCGTCGCCCTTTTTCTTGTTGAGCTTCGCTGGCCTGCCAACCAATTTCTCTTTTTCTCTGTCTTTCTCTTGCTCTATATTCCAAATTTGTGGACATGACAATTTATCTAAGCTTAATGCTTTAGACAACACGGATACAGAAAAAATTTCCGCTTTCCGTTTTCGTCTTTATTCGTGACTCTTTTATTGTCTCTGCTTCATAAGACGCCGGTGGCTATGCGATTTCCCGCCAAAATAACCTCGAGTTGCATTTCGGTTGCCATTCCTGTTGATTAAGCTATTTTACATTGGTATGCCTGTGGTGCGGACGGACGGTCTCTCGGGCGGGCGGTCGGTCGGTGTACGGTCACGTGATTACCAAATTTTCTCGGATGGCTAAATTACTTCATTTTCTTACCCATGGTGCTCCGCTATAAAGGAGTTAACCTATTAACCTTTACAAAGGCAAGAGAGTGCATGATTGCGAATGTAGCCTGTGTGCTAGCTCTCTTTTCGGGGAAGTCGCGAGAAGTCACGCGAAAACCGCACGCGAAAGGAGACGTGAGTGCGAAAGGTGGAGAAATTCTCCTTTTCCCGCTCCCCTCTCGCTCGCGCCTTTTCTTACGGCTCGCTTTGCTAGCCACTCGAAATCTCGAGAGTTTAAGCTTAAGCAAGAAAATTTAAGCATTAGCAAGATTCTTAATTTTAAGCTGTAAATATAAGACTATTGGTTAGATGCAAGATATGGAGCTTTCGTTGCAGATCAGGATTTTTTTTAATCCCTCAAGCCTTTCCCTTATAAAGTTTAATTATAACGATCCTCCTTTAAAGTTCAGTTCCAGGCGAAGTTGAGTTAAAAAGCCGGAACACTATGCTTTTGCGCTCAAATTCTCAAAGGTATGGTGACAACTTCGCCAAAACGATGCCCGATCCTTGGATACCCATGATACCGGCAGACTTTCCTGGAAAATCACGCACGTCGTGACGCTTCACCAAAGTGTAAAAAAAGTACCACTGCAAAAGTCGTGGTCATACTGAGACAATAACTGTCGACTAATGGGCGCGCTAGAATTTCTACTATTACCCAAAATAGAAGGGCTAAGGTCCTTACAACAGTTCATTTCTGATCAAGTTACGCATAATCATCCCACCCATATTGGACCATGGACGTGCAACAACTCTTCAGAAATCTTCAGAAAGAAGCAGAGTGTCCGTTGTGTTTAGAGACAGTCAACAATCCCAAGACTTTGCCATGTCTTCACTCATTCTGCCTTGAGTGTCTCGACAAACATGCAGGCTTCGCAAGAAGACAGCTTCAAACAACAATCAAATGTCCGGTTTGTCAGACATCTTTTCAAATCCCCGAAGGCGACTCGTGCCACATCTTATCATCTCAACCGACTGGTGGATGTTCTGGCTCTTAAAGATGGCGGCGCACAGGCCAAAAATGTGGCAGTTGTGATGAGAACAACACCGCTTCCTCTTACTGTTTCGTGTGCCAGAACTTTCTATGCACTCCTTGTTTTGAAGCTCACCAACGCTTGAAGGCCACAAGAGGTCATCGCAATGTTGTGATAGAGAAATTACAAGCACAAGATGTGGAGGATTTGATCCTCAAACCCATCATGTGTTCACAGCAATATCACGAAAATCAACCGTTGGAATTTTATTGCGAAGAATGCAAAGTTCCCATATGCCACAAGTGCAGTGTAGTTAGCCATAATCGACACACCATAACAGACACTCAGAAAGCCGCACAAGTACAGAAGATCCAAATGATGGACGCTTTGGAGAAAGTGAAAGCGAAAACCGTTGTTTACGAGAAAAAAGTACAGAAACAAACCGAGTTAATGGATAGGAACAAGAAAGAAATTATGTCGTGCGAAAAGAAGATGACAGATTTAGTGGACGAGTTGATTCGCGATTTGCGGGAACATGAGAGAGCCATGAAAACCAAATTTGCTGAAATTTATGAAGCGCAACAAAAAAAATCACGCAACACAACTAGAAAACTTTGAGTTGGTTTTGACTCAACTAAAAAGTTGCGTTGAACGAGGTGAAAGTATCGTACAAAGAAACATCGGTGCTGAAATTCTGCAAACAAATCCAGCTATCATTAAACGCTGTGAAGAACTTCTAAAAGCCAGAAAACCTGACATTTATAAGCCTTCACACGTAAATTATGTAGTTGAACAGAAAGTGAAGATTTTGGATCGTATTGTTGTCAGTGACACATATCCTTCGCTGTCGTTGGCTGAAGTGGCAAGTTGGAAAGATGTAAGAGAAAAGACGGAAACAGATTTTACCATTGTAACCCGAAATTCGGATGAGAAACAGTGTTATCAGGAAAAGGATGTGGTTAAAGTCAACATATTAAATCCCGCAGGTGATCAACTGGAAACAGAGATAAAAGACAGCAAAGACGGCAAGTACACAGTAACATACACACCACAGTGTGTTGGACAACATAGAGTAGAGATCCAAGTTAATGGACAGCCGCTGACTGGTAGTCCCTGGTTTGTTCAGGTGATTCCGCATCAGTATCAATTTGCGTTTCAATTTGGATCAAAAGGAAGAGAACAAGGACGGTTTAACTCGCCTTGGGGTATTTCTGTGAATGATAAAAGTAGAACACTCGCTGTTGCTGATTTTAATAATAAAAGAATTCAGATGTTTGGCTTTGAAGGAAATTTCCTTGGGACAGATTGCATTGAATGGTAAACCTCGTTCGTTGGCTTTTACCGAGTCAGGTGACCTCCTTGTTTGTGCTTTACTGGAGGTGTGGAGCTGGAGAATTTTCCTCTTTACTGAAAATGGTCGGTTTATGAGCTACTTCGGTGGTGAACATGTTAAGGCACCGTACTACATATCTGTTTCCAGTGACGGTCGCATTATCACAAGTGACTCTAATGACAGCAGAATCAAAGTTCTTACAGCTGATGGGAAAAACTTACTTTAGTCGTTCAAAGCCACAGGTTGTCATGAAGACCCGGACTTTATCGTTTATAACCAGGAAAAATTCTTTGCTTCTTTTTCTCTTGCTTGTCGTGTCAAAGTATTTAACAACGCAGGGGCGTATCTACATGACGTTGGCAGCAAGGGATCTGGTAACGGGCAGTTCTTGAAACCCATTGGTCTTGTCATTGACAAGTTTAACCGTTTGATCGTTTGCGATGCTGAGAACAAAAGACTGCAACTTTTCTCTCTTGATGGAAAGTATATCACTCAGATAGCTGGGTGTTTTTTTGAGGGTGGCTTCCCTCGTGATGCTGTCATCTCCAATACTGGATATTTGTTTGTTTCTGATAGTGACCGGCACTGTGTTCATGTTTTCCATTAGCTCTGTAAGCGATCCAGTGTGTTCTGTGCAGCGTGTAGCATGCAATATTTTACTGTTAGGAACCATTTTAGATAATTAAATAGTACCCCTTGATAGTACCATTTGATTTGCTAGCAAATAATAACTACGATACTTTGACTCGGTTTTATTATTTGAAAAACGCGCTTCTTACAGACCTTACGAAAAACATCTGTCTGTTGATAGAAAGGCAATATTAAATAGCCATTACCCTACGGGCAGAGGTTTCTCTCTTGCATGGCTTTGAGCTTTTACGAAGTCGTTTCCATCGTATTTTAGTCAAGTAGTTGGTTTGTTTTTAGTGAACGCTCCAGGAGTATAAAACAAACCAACAACGCGACTTACAAGTGATGCGTACGACTTGATAAACGCCAAACCCCGTGCAAGGGAGAAACTTTTGCTTACAAGGTAAATAGCCATTCACGAGTACAACGTTCGATCGGTTATTGCAAGGTAGCGATGATTTTTTCTGTTACTGTTACAAACATGTAAAATTGTTATAGCTTGTTATATTTTATTAGCGGGGATCTCAGTCATTCAGTGTTTAGAGGTTTAGTTTCTTGCTTTCTCTGAATACGTATGACTGTTTTTAATGAGAAATGACACTCTGTAGTCTTGAAAAAAAAAAAGCCGCAAGAGAGAGATTCTTCATTGCCGAATATACATCCGGTAATAGCTTGATGCTAGAAATTGTCTATGTGGGTTTCGTGTACTAAAATTCTAGAAAGAAATTTAATTTTTTTTTTCATGTATTGCATGTTTGCTTAAAATTTCGAAGAACATGAAGCGAGCACTGGTTATTACGTTAATGAGGTAGGAACTTGCCACGTCCATCAAATTCGCAGCTTTCTTCGCGGTGTTTAATACACACTCAGTTTAGCAGCTTGGTACATGTGTTTGCTGCTAAAAAAAACATTCAACCAAGGATAAGAAGATTTTGGCGACTGGAATGAGCCACCCACTAATCTCAAAACGTTCCTAAAACGAAATAAATGCATGCGAAACCATATACCATTTCTCCGGTACTTAGGACATTGAGGAGCCTGAGAAAACAGTCGACATTTCGCAACAGGTGCTTATAACTGGATGTATTTTTTGCTGCAGGGCCACTGAACTGCGCTTAAGGCAACATTTCCCCTAAGTTTCTGTTTTACGTGGTAACGTACGAGCTCTGACACGGGCACACGTAACTTTATTATAGTGCTTTTAATTATTAATTTGACTCACTCTGTTTTTTCAAGTTAACCATCGGTGATTGTAAAGAAAGTGTTATGTCGTTTCGAACATAGTTAAGCCTATCATTGAATGAAAGTTTGCATGCAATAGTTACTTCAATACCCACCGGAATATCTGTTCTTCTTTTTTCTTAACAAAGGCTTTAACGTGTGCACCGGAGGTTAAAAAAAGGGCATTAGAACAGTTTCCTGACGTAAAGAAAAAGCTTTTTTTTTCACTTCTCCGTAAAAGGTCTCGCTAACTTTGAAGCAAATTAAGATGGAATCCATCAGGAAATTGGACAATTTCAACTTTCAGTGGAAAAAAACCCTTGTACCAGTATATTTTAAACATTTAAATGGGGCCATGGGTATAATTAGTTATCTGTAATAACACCTAAGACTATTTCTCATTGAAGCCCGAGAAAATAAATGTCAAATTTCATAAGAATTGTGAAAACACAGTTACAATTCTGAAATTTTCATGTGATATAGCACTACACGAGAAATTTCTACAATTTGATTGGATTAAAGCAGTGGTATTTCAGCTTAATTTGAAATATCTATGCATGCGAAAATTACAACCCTTTTGCGAGATTGTCCCACGAGCTTTCTCCGTATGTAGAGTTCATATGCAAAGGTAGATCAGGATCAGTCTTCATTCAAGCATTTGTGCATAATTAGTGTTTAATGGACTGTAAACTGATCAAGTGGCCAAACGTTAGGAGGTGTGTTTCTCTAAATTCGATCCTTTCATAAGGATACAAGAGCAGCTGTAATTGGTTTGTAAGGAATGCGACTGAAAATTGTGGCCGAAAATGATTACTACGACAATATCATTTTGATATTTCGATGCTGGAGTTTGTTATAATTACTTTGAGTACTAAGTATTAGGAGATAAATGAATAACTTAGGAACTGTGACATATAAAGCAATCTAACTTTTTCACTCATTTTTATCGTCTTTTGGTTGAAAAATTTACGCGCACTTGACAAACTAATTATCAAAAAGTTAAAATTTTGAGAAACGTTTGCTCCGCAGAAAAATACACTCATTCCCATTCATCCAGGGTCAATGATCATAACTGATTTCTTTCAGCTTAAAAATTGTTGATCCGGGTAGGTCACACACCCCTTTTTTGAGTAATGTTATTTCATTACAGAGAGAGAGAGAGAGAGAGTGTGTGTCTCATGGTCCTCGCCATCATACGATAGTGATCAAGCTCTATTACTTTTAAATACCCATTTTTCCTGCTGCAGATTACTGATGCATATTTATATAATCGTAATTAAAGTAATATAAACAATGACACCATACGCACATAAGGATATGACACACATAATTTAAGTAAACTATGACACTGTCCATCTTAAAATAGCAAAGACCTGTAAAACCGGTTAAACCAACTAAAAATAGCACATGGCCTGTGCATTTTATTTATGAGATAAAGACAAAAGGTTATGACGTCATCGGAGTTAATGTATTCCACACAAAATTAATTAAACCCACAAAAAAGGTTAATTCGGTCCCTACTGTACTATACTTACATGGAACTCAAAAGCAAGATATCACATGATTCATCAAAGGGGAAACAAACCGTGGACTGTTTCTATTCTCTTTTTATCAAGTTGAAAAAGTTGGTTCTGTTTTTTTCAAGTTCCAATCTGTTTCAATCCTGCCATCGAAAGCCAAAGACGTAAACTTTCAGGTGAGAAATTGTGGCGGAGTAATTTTGAACAAAACTGAACCATTATATACCAGGTTTTTCTTTTGTTCCAACATGTTTTAGGGTTTAAATAGTAATACCGAAAAATCGTGACATAGTTGCTTTAATGGGGTCAGGGATTAGCTGGCTGAGGTCCATACAGTTTTCTGACGTACATTCCACGGCTTATCACGAAAAACATTAATATGTCTAAGAAGTTCTTCGTCGCTTAATAATCTGTTTCCCGCAATTTGCAACCGTAAAATAAAAAACGGAAGTATTTTATGCCATTCTGTTGATCTCGAACCTACTCACGCTCGCCTCTCACTTCTGTAAACTTTTTGCGGATGAAAAGACTCCTTTTTAGTAACGTGAATTCAAAGGTCAAAATCAACGCGCGCAGAAAATGAAATGTTTCATGTCATGCTGTACACCTTTATTGACTAATCCCCGTCTCAGACTCTGTGGTGTAAACGCGTCTATTTTATAGGGTCTGTTTCCAATGAGTTGAATTTAATGCGCGTAAGAGCTTCTCACCAATTCTTGTTGTGGTTAGCTCTGACAATAAACGAGAGGATAAATTGTCCAGAGCGGTGTATCACTCCCGGACGAAAAACTACACTGATCGACCATTTAAGTGTTCTTTACTGAGCAAGAGTGGTAAAAAATGTCGCTTTAAGAACACAAATGATTTGGCGAATCATACTGAGTAACAACAAGAAGAAACGAAATCGATAATTTTACAGTCTAGGTTTTAGTTTATTCATTGAGGTTAGGCCCTGGGATACAGCATTAGCTCTTTAGTTTTCAGGTCTTCTATAGTTGCAAGGAAATTTATATTTTGAATTTAAGCGACTGGACGCTCCACTTCTTCAATGATGATCCTAATGGTTTGATACCAACTTGTGTAAGCGTTGCCATTACTGAATCCCGATCCAGTACAGTCACCTACGTTAAATCCAACTCGCACTTTCCCCACAGGAATGCCACCACAGTAACCCTCAATGTTGGCTGACCTGTGGATGTTTATGTCGACACTGTGGAAAATGACTCCATCTATTGGGGCTGGATTGCTGCACTCTTTACGGTCGAAAGTGAAATACCATCTTTTGCAACAGTTTGTGCAGCGTGTGATGCGGATAATACCCATGTACACAACACGAAGGAAGGTCCCAGACTTCAGCTTGGTGAAATCGCATGCCTTAAGCGTACCAAAAAAGGAGTTGCCAAAAATTAGTCACAGCAGTTCTCTTCAGATATCCGAAACGTTATAAGATAATAATAAATTCAATAGGTGGGCGTAGGAGTAAAGACTGAGTAGAAAAAAGATCGTCTGTACATAGTCAGTCTATCTGAACAATTTTGTTGCAAGACGGGGTTAAACCTGAGCTTTAAATTAGGTGCATATGACCTCAAATCTGATAAAATTGTCATGAATTCTACGCGCTTTCAGCCTTAAAACGAGGCACAATTTGCGTGAATCGGATAAGACTAGCGGACTCCATGATTGCTTTAAGAGTAAAAGATTTGCTTATTTGAGCAGCCTTTGGCCAGAAGACCGTGTTGTTAGTTCTCTGGGTCGAGTGAAACAATAACGTATTTGAGGCATTGTTCTTAGCTCCGCGCTTCTTTGTTAACATAATGAGGTTTTAGCATAATGGCGGTTGGTCATACTTTTGGGTTTTCCAAGTGAAACCGCTTCCCATTATAATAACTGAACCGTGGTAGTGGTCGGCCAACCCGAGAGCTTTGCTCCTTTAATTTGGCCACTAAACACTATTCCAATGTATCATTGTAACATGTACACTAGCTCCTTTTTTCAGTTCCTGTTATGATTGTATTTATGTACGTTTTATGAATAAACGTGAATAAACTGAACTTGAACTTAACTTCTCCTCCAGCGCACTCTTCCTGTTGTACTCTCGTGGCTGAAACTGTTGATTCATCTAAGGCTCATCGGCGTTTATAAGGAATTACCACATCTTCACATTCTGCTTTTCTGCTCCTTCACGTAGTTGGGGCATAATTTTCGCTTCTTGGATCAAGATTTGCTGAAAATGCGGTCCCAACCCAGGAACAAAATTCCATTCTGAGTTTTCAGAATCAATATGACAGGCTTTCCGAGTTAAACATCTTATTTAGAATTATTCAAGACTAAGCAACGACGACAGCAACGAGAACGGCAAACAAGTAGATTTGGATTAGCAAAAAACATTTTTACATGTGCATCACACTTTTTTTACATTTCTATGCCGTCGTTGCACGAACACGACGTGAAACTTCCCAAATTTGCCTGTTTTGTGGAGGTAAAGAACGATGCTCTATTACTTTTGTTTTTAAACCTAAATACAGTCCTTTATCATATCGCTCAAAAAAATTCACTAACATTTGACAAATTGAACGACATAAAAAAGAGCGATGAATATTGAAACATACCGCCTAGATTCGCTTTTTAAGAGACCCATTCCCACAAGATGTCGAAATCTGACATGCGTGCAACAATGCCTCAAGATACGTCACTCACCCCAGGCCCAAAATGTCAGGGCCTAAGATATTATTATCCACGGTCCTTACAAACCTAAATGCCGGTAAGTGGAAATCATTTCAAATTTCTACAAGTTATTTCCGTGGCAATCGTATGCTTACGTGAACTTGTCCATTGTCTATATCATTCTCGGCACTATTAGATGACCAGACACACTGTTTCCATCGACGTCCACCAAGAGTCACTTCATTATTTTCGCTGGTATTTTCGCTACTATCCATGCTGGTACAGGTGGTAGCTGGGGCACCGGGAGCACCGGGGGTACCTGGAGTACCGGGAGTACCCGGTATACCCGGAGATCCAGGTGTGCCGGGGGTCCCTGGCTGTCCTGGTTTTCCTTGAAGGGAACAATCCTATGGAACAGACAATGAAAGGATACTGAAACTTCTTTAGAACTACAAAGTATTAAATATTTTACATGTTTACATGTTTAGATACATAGTTACGACATTTACCCAAAGTTGCGTAATGACACAACCCTGATTGCTTTTACGAACTGGTTTTCGCCAATATAAGAAAGTGTGTAATTCCGCAAATCACCAGGGAGCGCCGTATTATTTTTGTCTCAAAATCACAGAATAGTTAAACTCATAAGAACAAAATATCCATTTAAGGTGTTTCGATACAGTTTTTCGGAGACCATATATACCGATATTTCTCAATCGCCTTAAAAGGTGATTTTATCCTTGTCCGATCGCTGATAAAATTTTCACCAGTAACAGACTATGAATTGAAGTTAGTTGAAGTTAGTAAAATCGATATCACTATGACAACAATAAACAAAAAACTCTGAAATCTATAAAAGCCGAATTTTGCGCGATCTAGACCTGCAGGGGAAAATCCGACACCAGGTAGGCAGCCTACGTAGCTGGCGGGATTGTTAGCGCGAGCAAAGGTTTTGCAAAGGAGCTGCGAAGCTGTGCGGAGAATGGGGAGAAGACGCTCCGGTGCTCGTTTCTCGTGGCAAACAAAACTCTCACACGTGCAAAGCAATTCCACCAGGCTACGCAGGCTGTCCAAAAGGAAGAAAACAATTGCATTCCCGCAGAGCAAACACCTCTTTAAGTGCACATCAGTGCTCAGTGACTTCTTCAAAGAGATAGATAGGGTCTGCTAAGGCGATATGGTCAAGCGGAGAGCATTCCAAAGTTTACTTTAGAAGCTTAATCACTTGGCTCTCTTGCTGTTTCTTAATTAATTACTTTAAGACCTCATGAAGATACCTGGTTTGCGTCCTTGCCCCAGATGATCATGGTCAACAGTAGGAATCCGATGGAAATCAGACAATGCGATTTCATCATTTTTTAATTGTTCTGTTTAATACTGAATGAAAAGAAAGATCCAACAAGTCAGTCATGAACATGAAAAACAACAGCTCACCTAAAGTGAAAATCTCTCACCGCTAATATGGATCATTGCTTTTGCAGACGCCAAAAATCACACGATGTAAACCGCTATATTTTACACTTGAATAACGGTGACAAACCCCAGCCTCGCCCAAGGAGTTTCCTTTGTGGACCCTTTTTGACTTTGGAAGGGACTTCCTCATAGCATAAATGGGAGCCTTGGCTTATTCTTTTTTATTAATTTCAACTACAATTTATTACATATTTACATACAAAGGAAAAAAAACGATTACAAAAGCAGCAAAGTAAAAGGAAAAAAAAATTACAAATTGAGAAGATTATCATTACAAAAAAATTATCATTACGCTAACGCTTAAACATAAGAAAGAAAAAAGATAGGCAATGAACAACGCCAAAAGGCTTATATAACCGAGAGGCAGCTTTCGTTGTAAGAAGGAAAGCATGCAAATCTATACAAACGAGATTATCAGAGGTACATGGGAGGGCGACGCCAAAGCAGAGTTTTAAGAGAGTTTTAACTCTGTTTAGATGTCGCTTAGAAAAGTCCATTTTTTGGGTAGGGACTGATTGGCGGTTTCGTGCACGTGTATTCTGTGGATCGATTTGACATATTTAAGTTATCCAGACAATGTCAGAGTCAGTTCATTTGTTTTACAGAGGCAAATGTAGTGCCCGGCTGTAAGAAGGCAAAAATTTAATTGTTGATGTAACTTTGGAAATTTAACTTATTTTATCAGAAACGGTAACATGATTATGCTTTTTATGATAAAAAGTGATCTGTTCGTTGCACTAATAACAATCAAAATGCTGTAGTGTTTAGTTCTAGCGGTTTTTAGGATTATTACAACAATTAAGAAGAGCTAATGAATGGCATCCTTGCGTGGAATTAGTTATCGGGGTAAATTTCAGCGAAATTGTGATCAAAGGAAAGGAAACTTAGTGCGAGTTAGCGGGGAATTCGTGTTATCCGAGTTGAGTTAACCGAGTAAAAATGACTTAAACGTGGGGTGAAATCCTAGGTGTGACCGACCGGGAAAAAGCACGCATGCAGCTCTCGAGATAATCGGAGTCCACTTGACAGTTGATTCTCAAACTCATTAATAATTCATTAAGAAAATACAAAGGAAATTAATGTTTAATGAGTGTTTGGAAATCGGATGAAACACTGCTAAGTATTTGCATCCTTAATTTCTCCTTCAAAAATGATTTTGTTTGAGAAGAAATATCAAACATTCGACACAGTGTTTCATCACCAGATGAAACACCTCGAAGTTCGTCAAAAATACTCCGCTGCGCGTCGTATTTTCAACTCTCTTCTCGGTGTTTCATCTGGTGATGAAACACTGCATCTCATGTTTGATATATTACTTGAGAAATTTAATCACAGTTTAAGTGTTCGCAAATAGAGTTGCGGAGATGACAAGTAAACAATGGCAATGGTTTAATAGCTAGGTAGTCTTAAATTATCGGCGTTAGAAGCGACAAACCAAAATAATGATTACATGTAGCAATTTGTAGAAGCAGTATCGAGGTGAAATATTACTAATGGTGTTAACATTCTCGCGACATTGGTATCAATGTAATTACGTAGTCTATACAGAAAACATGGCATTATCCGGCAAAAAAAAAACTAAGAGCATACTAGTAATCATGCTGGCATCAATAGGACTATACAATTAGAAATAAAAACTTACCTTGTTTGGCGACTTAAACCATTGGCTTTCGGTTGCGGAAATAAACTGCTCTGCGTTAACTACGAGTCGCCTCTTTTTAAAACGCACTGCTCTATCTATTACGTGTATATGCTTAAGCGCGTTATCTGATACGTGCAATCTAAGGGTAAAAATCATTCCAGTACACGATTAAATCGTGAATAAGCGTGTCAACTGCAAATTTCTAACCAAAGCGTCATGATACAATGATCAGTTTACTTGACATAGTAATAACTCATTTGCTTATTACAAGAGAGAATCAGATTATTGTCTCTTGCTCATTACGTATCATAGAGAGAGTGGTTCTGTAAGGAAACGATAATAACAAATTTATGCATTATATATAATTGTAAGAAAGTAGGTTCTTTTATAAAATTTGTTGTGAAAAAGGGTTCGATGGCTATAACTAACGCATTCATTTCTACAGGCAATCTGAAACTTGTTTTATCATGTTTTCAAGGGGTTGAGAATGCTTACTTGTATACTAAAGCATTTTCTCGCAATGCTTTCTTCTCATAGTGTTTCAGTGGAACACGATTTCAAGGCATCACAGAAAAGCAGCTAACACTGACGAATGGTTCGGCTTAACGAGCTGTAACCCTCCGTTTAATCAGTATAATAGCTAATAATGTGTTGATCAATAAAAATTGTAAGTTTGAAAAGATCAAAGTATTAATCGCGAAGGAGGAAGCTATACTATGTATGTATTGTGAACACGACATTTTTTTGAGTCACTACATGTTTGCATTATAACTATTTGCAGCCGATAAGCATATGGAGAAATTAAGGAAGAAAAAAAACAAAATGAAAAAAGAATAATCGAAATTGCCTGGTCAGTGTTCCGACCTCAGAGAAACGGGAACAGTGAAGGCAGGAACTTGCAAGATCACAGGTCTTCAACACTTCCCGGTGTGATTTAAAAATAAATTTTAACCTCATGATCTGCTACGTAAAATATTCGCCAAAACCTCCTGCATTCGGCTGCATAGTTTGGGTTGAGTAGGTTAACTGTGACTGTTTTTATCGGCGCTTATGTAAATTTATTGCATGAACACAGTTCATCAAATCCGACTCTCTCGGGGCACGAAATAGTGTTTTGCGCTATTGACGCTACTTCAGTCAGCAGAACTAAGTGGTTTTTGGAACGGCTCGTCCCTTCGTAAACTATTTAACTGTAGCCTTGTTTCTTTAAACCAAACACAAAAGCTTAAGCATACTAGTGGGATCCTCGGGCTTTACCCCCTGGACAATTTGACAAGAAATTTCCAGAAATAGCTGGCTGTATCTCCAAAATTTATGTCCTTCTAATACACTGGTGCAATTTTTTCGTCATTTTGTGAACTAAACTTTTCGAATATCAGACAGTCGTTGTTACTTAATTGATTTCAAAACTCCCAATTATGGAACTTCGGTTCATTTAAAAGTTAATTGTTATAATAGGTGTCGTTACCCTGGCTCCAATTAGGTCAGTTCGCAAAATATCCACTTGATGACAAAAAAATTACTGTGTATATAGTTCAGTAAATGGACCTAAGAATTGTTTTCTTCACGCGTTACGCCTCGTTGTCACATTTTTGCCCCTTCAAACGAGCTTCAGTGGTGAAATACATTGAAGGCTCCAAAACATTGCAATGTTTGTTTTTGCCCGTTTTGTTTCGCCCCCTATTTTCTGGTTTTCTGCCTTATTAGCGGAAGCAATTAGTCCGCGTATCAACTTGGCTTCATTAAGAGAATTCATCACCCTTTGACATTTTTTCAGTTACGCACGTGCGTACGTGTGTAGGCGTTGCTACGCCCCTGCTGAAGGTAAGGAAATTATGGAAAATATCTCAAGTTGCGGCTTAAATAATAAGTTCAAACGTGCAAGTATCTCCTGAGATCAAAAGCGAGAACAGATTTTATCTGCAATTGACATAAATAGTTTGACTTCTAAATCCGCAAAAATGTCTTTTGATCTGCAGGTTTGTTTAAAGTACGCCCAAAATATTAGTCCTGAAGAGTCTTTCTTGTGGGGTGTTACTTCAGCAGTGCCGTAGTAAGGAGTTTTCAGTATTTATGGTCAGCGGTTGTTACCATTTTGCTAAGAACTCGTGCTAGTTGCCGCCATGTTCTTGTTTATCACATGTGTGATTTAGGTTTACAATCCATGTAATCCTTCGCTCATCCTTATCGTGTAAGGCAGACTAAGTTGTTATCTGAAGAACTGAAGAGTTAAAGATTATCTGGAGATAAACTGAAGATCTGAAGAGTAAAGTGTTTCTTTTTTTCTTGTGAATAACAACGACAGGGTAGTCTGTTCCGGAGTCTCTCATATTGGTATCAGCGATCATAGCCTTATTTACGTTTATAGGAAATTATCTCTCACTTTTCCTTCAAAAGGGCACTCAACCATTTCTTATAGAAATTTCCAAAATTTTAATAGAGAGAGTTTTCGGAACGATATCGCCCAGCAAGACTGGTCCTGTAATGTTTCTGAAGATCCAAATGTTTTGTGGACTAACTGGAAAACGAAGTTTTTGGATATTGTTAATATTCATGCGCCACTCCGAACTAGACGTACTAGAACAAATAAAGCACCCTGGATCAATTCAGAATTAAAGAAAGGCATGCGTGATCGTGATGCTGCCAAAAGAAAAGCAATTACATCGAATGATCCACACGATTGGAAAAGGTACAAAAAGTTGCGAAATATAATAAACAATGACATCAAAATTTCTAAAGCATCTTATTATTCTAATGCATTTATTCAATCTAAGGGTAATCCTCGAAAAACGTGGCAAACCTTTAATGAGCTTACATCCCGTCGTGTGAATAATACAACGGTGAAGGAACTGAAATTGAATGATACCATTATCTCTAATTCTAGTGAGCTTTCTGATGCTTTTAATGACCATTTTTCAACAATTGGGCCCAGACTTGCTAATGAAATACCTCTAACTGCTGAAAATAATTCAAGTTATATCAATAATATAAAGGTAAATAACAACAATTTCAGCTTCTCCTCGACTAACTGCAGCATTGTTTTCTCACATCTAAACAAATTATGTAGATCTAAAGCAACTGGTCTTGATAATATTTCTGCTAAAATTGTACGTGAATGTGCTGATCTTATTTCAGTTTCACTATGTGATCTCTTTAATAAATCTTTAGTCTCTGGTATATTTCCTGATGATTGGAAATGTGCTAGAGTTACTCCGTTGTTCAAGGAAGGTGAGCCATCTG